CCAGCACGGCTCCGAAGATGTCATGCCGGAGCGGGGAACTGGCGCGGTGCTGCTCTGCGCTAGCCCGAGAGAGATCCAGCGCGCGACCTACCAGCAGGCGGGCGCGCGCCACGCCTTCCTCGGAAGGCTGGGGGCGACACGGCGTCGAGCCGCACGCGCCCGCGAGACCCTGCCGTCCGTCGCGCGCCGCCCGCGCCGCCAGGAGAGCAAGGCGCACCTGGGGCGAGAGCGCTCGCCAGTGGAGCACCCGGCGCGTCTGCCAGCCATGCGGGGCTGCGCAATCCCGCTGTGCACGCTGCGTCTTCGAATGCCTTCTGTTCCCGAGGCGCGCGGGTGGCCGCGGCCCTCGACCAGCGGGGCGCCACGCGTCGGTGTCTGTCGGGGGCCTGACGCTGAAGGGGCCCCAGGACACACAAATAAATACACAAATAAAAAGATTCCCCATATTTTCCTCTCTTTTTTTGGGGGGGGGGTGTCTTACCCCCCACTTCCCTTATTTTTACATATTTTCCTGGGAGTCGACGATTAATTGTGTCTGTGTGTTTCTTTCCCTCCTGAGATGCGGCGGCGGGCGGGAGCTGGTGACCCGGCCACGCTGCGCCCGCGCTGCCACGTCGCGAGCCCAGGCCTCGATCACCCCAGCATGGCCCGCAGCTGACGCGGCAACGCCCACGGCGCTAAGCCCAAGGATAACATGCTGCACGCTGCCGCGCGCATGACGGCCTAGCCGAGGACCCCACCGGCACGTGCGGCCTAACGAGGGCGGCGCCCGAGGAAAGCATCTGACCCGCACGGGACGTCTCTCGACGGCTCCGCACATGCATGGGCAGAACACCGCGTCAAAGAAGCCGTGGTCTGGCAACGAGCGCATGCAAGGCATCCGCCAGAAATACGACGAGGCTGGGGACAGAACCATTACCCAGGCGCCTAACTCGGCCGCTGCCCACTCAGCGAGGCTGGCGGCGGCTTCACACAGGCGATTTGCGTCGATGACCCTGTCGCTCAGTGGCGGGATGCCCTCTGGGAGCGCAGCTGACCTCACCTCGGCGCGGTGGCTGCGATCCCTGGCTCGGGAGAAGGTGGCCCAAGGAGGTTCCAGAACGAGCACCAACTCGCCGCATTGGTCCACCGCGGCTGCCAGCAGCTCCCGGAGGCGATCCCCTGGGCACCGGAGGTCCAACCTCAGGCCGTCCGTCAGCATCCAAGATGGGACGCACTGGAGCGCCGCGTGCCTGGACGCCTGCCGCCAGCGACACGCTTCCAGCGAACAAATCCGCCACGAAAACCGTCTCTCTGGCGTGTCCCCGCCAACCGGGCCAGACGCGCCCGCGTTGCAGCCAAGCTCTGAACGTGGCGGCACAGACGGGCTCGCAGCTGAGCGCGGCTCGCCCCCACGAGCGGAGCGATAGAAGGAGGGGTCGGCGAAGCCATCGGCAGGCATGGCGAAGCGGACGTTGGAGGCATAGCGGGCGACGCCGAGCAAGCCGGCGATCTCGCCGGAGAGGCCAAAGATGCCGCTGCCTCCTCCCCCTCCTCCTGGCCCCCTGCGCGCGGCGACGGCAGGGGGGGGGGGGGGGCCGAGATTGGGGCCTGGTCAAAAACTGGCCGCCGCGGCCGCCGCCGTGGCCACCGCCACCGCCGCCGCGTGATCCGCCGGGCGCCAACCCTGCGGGCGGCTCTTCGACGGGCAGCTGTCGTCGATCGAGCGGTGCTCGCCCAAGCACCACTCGCCATTGTGAGCGCGCGGCGGGTGGCCCTCGCAGGGCTCCCTGCAGCCGTTGGCGCTGCGGCTGCAGGAGTAGCAGATCTCCTGGCCAGACCCAGAGAGCCGACATCGTGATTTTTTCAATGCGGGGTCCCTGGAGGTCTCGACCCATTCCCCACGACCGGTTTTTCGTCCTGAGTCGTTTTTTGACGGTCCCGGAGCCCGGCGAGGGCCTCGAGGTCCAAAATTAAGAAAATCCTGCGTCTTGATTTTTTCAATACGTCGGATCTCCTGGCCAGACGGCGTGCGGAGGCAGCGCCCCTCCGGACGCTCGTTGCTCCGCCTCCTCCCGGCGGCGGTCCCCCCGCTGGGCCCGTCCGCGCGGCCCTATAGGCGGGCCAGCCCCCCCGGCGCCGCGGGGGCTGCGGGAGCGCCCCCAGGCAGCGCCCACCTGGCGCGGCTCCTCCTCGCCGCCTTCGAGCGCAGACACCATGGATCTGGTGTTGCTAGAAGTGCCCCTGGCCCAAGGTGCTCCCAGGATTTCCAGGGAGGCCCCACGACTTCCGGAGCACCCCTCACGAGGCCCAGGGGGCCCGAAGGGTTTCAAAATAAAGCGGAAGCCGGGAGCACCTTGGGCCAGGGGTACTTGTAGCAACCCCCGAATGGAGGCGGCACCCGCGGCTATCGGGTGCTGTAGGCAGGGCTGGTGCACGTGGGCATACCACCAATTACCATCGCCGCTGTTTTCCTCCTGGTAGGTCGCAGGGGTGAGGGCCGCCTCCCACGGGCGCTCGGGGAAGAGACGGCCCCGAAAAGTACCTGCCAGCACTTCGTCCTCCAGCTGCGCGCGGACCAGCTCCCACCGCTCTGAGCGATGACAATCCTCCATGACCATGATGTGGCCCCAATGGTTGGGCAACGCATTCGACATAGCCCTGATCCCGTTCTCGTAGGCGTGGAGCGGGCCTGGGAGGGATGCCTTGAGCTTCAGCATTCCCGTCCGGAACACCCTCCATCCCCGTCGCCAATGGTCAAAGGACGGGGGTCCAGAGAGCTGCCTCGAGACGAGAACGCCGTCCACGAAGACCTGCGCCCTATACCGAAGCAGCCGCTGCAGCCGCTTCCCGAAGGGGCGGGAGATCTTGAGGTCCACGTAAGGAGCCCGGTCCTCCGCGAGTGGCGCGGCGAGGCCTGACAACTGGTCGTCCGTAGGGTTCTCCGCCGCCTCAGGGGCGCCCCCGTGCACCTCCCGGAACTCCTTATTGAGTTGCCGGATCGTAGGCGCTGGGAGGATGCTGAACTCGCCCTCGTTGGGGCCATCCACCAACACCTCATGGAACTTGCGCTTACCAGGCTCTGGTGCCTGCGGGGTGCTCACAGCGCCCGAGCTGACTCCCACCAGACTCGGTAGTTCCGGCGGTGGGCTGGCGGTGCCGAAGTCTGGCACTCGCAAGCCGCAAAACGCAGCCAAGCGCTGAACCTCGCGGATGAAACGGCCCCGCGCGATAAGTGTGAGGGTGTTGCCTCCCACCTCCAGGACCAGGATGGCGTCCGTGAGCTCCTTGAGCGTGGTCCCGAAGACATCATCGACGGCTGCCGATACGGCATCGCCTCCTAATGCCCGAATGAAGGCATCCCATGGTTCGGGTGCGAAGTTCAGCGCTGCCGAGGCAGCAGCGGCGCGCAACGCCCCGCTACCGCTGGGCTGCTGGGAAGGACCACTAGCATGAAGGGGCCCCAGGACACACAAATAAACACACAAATAAAAATATTCACCATATTTTCCCATATGTTCTGGGTTTTTGTCTTCCCCCCCACTTTCCATATTTTCCCATATTTTCCTGGGAATCGACGAATGATTATGTCTGTGTGTGTTTCTTTCCCTCCTGATAGCAGCCCCAGCGGCAGAGGCCGAGACCGCGGGCGCAGGTGAGGCGCCCGGTGCGGCGGTTGCTGATGCTGGCGTCGGGCCGCGCGGCGCCCAACCCGCCGGCCGAGCCAAGGGCGGCCCGGCGACTGTAACTGCCCCTTGTGCCACAGCAGGCCCGAGGCCCAAGCCTGGCACTGAGAGCGCCGGCGGGACCAGGCCTGCAGAGGGAGGCTCCATTGCACAACAGAACCAGTTCCTCGCTGGATGGGCGAAGCCCGCAAAATCCAACGAGGCACTCCGAGGGATAGGCTCAGCCCGAAAATCCCCCAAACTGAAAACCTCACGCCGGGAGGCTCACCCTTGAGCCAAAATGGCTACGGACAATGCAAAAATGCAAAGACAGAAGTGCAAAGCCTGAGCATGCGATGCATAATATGTTCCATCGATATCATAACAAAACTCCCACGACGCACCCACCCCAAGCTTCTTAGCTCGGGCGCGAATGTTACTTTTACACGTTGTGCAATTTCCAAACAATCTGCACGGCACAGCCTACACACCACAGCCATACTCCTCTTCCTCCTCATCATCCGGTTCCTCCTCCTCCCCCTCCTCTTCCTCCTCCTGCTCCTCCTCCTCCTTTCCCTCCTCCTTTCCCTCCTCCTCCTCCTCCTCCTCCTCTTCCTCCTCCTCTCCTTCCTCCTCCTCCTCCTCCTCTCCTCCCTCCTCCTCCTCCGCCTCCTCCCCTCCTCCTCCTCCTCCTCCTCCTCCTCCTCCTCCCTCCTCCTCCTCCTCCCTCCTCTCCTCCTCCTCCTCCTCCGCCTCCTCCTCCTCTCCTCCTCCTCCTCCTCCTCCTCCTCCTCTCCTCCTCCTCCTCCTCCTCCAACTCCTCTCCTCCTCCTCCTCCTCCCTCCAACCTCCTCTTCCTCCCTCCAACCCCTCCCTCCCTCCCTCCCCCCTCCCTCCTCCTCCCTCCCTCCCTCCTCCCTCCCTCCTCCCTCCTCCTCCTCCTCTCCTCCTCCTCCTCCTCCTCCTCCTCCTCCTCCTCCTCCTCCTCTCCTCTCCTCATCATCATCATCATCATCATCATCATCATCATCATCATCATCATCATCATCTTCATCATCTTCATCATCATCTTCATCTTCATTTTCATCTTCATCATCATCATCATCATCATCATCATCATCATCATCATCATCATCATCATCATCATCATCATCATATCATCATCATCATGATCATCATCATCATCATCATCATCATCATCATCATCATCATCATCATCATCATCATCATCATCATCATCATCATCATCATCATCCTTGTCCGTTCCCCTCCTCCTCCACCTCCTCCTCGCCCACCTCCTTCTCCTCCTGGCCTTGCTCCCCCTGTCCTCTCGGTGCCGCCCCCAGGCCGTGGAGCCTGTGACGGAGCTTCGTGCACGCGGTGAGCTCGGGGGCGCACGCGTCATCCTGAGGTGCACCGCATGGGGAAGACAGGATGACGAAGAGGGGGCAGAACAGGTTATGTAGGATCCGACGGCCAGCTGAGATCACAGCCCATGAGAGCCGTGCCAAACCAAGACTTCCAGGTCAGGATCGAACGAATTCCGACGGGCACGGGCGAATGAAACACCGCATTACTAGTTTTAAAACAGGGAGGCGGCGGGGACGAGGACGATAGACTTGAGCCGCAATCCACTGGCCACACTCGCACATGCCAAGCAATCACCTATAAAGAAATCGTTTCTGCTGGGCACGCTGCTTTTTTTTCTGGGGGGCCAGAACAGGTTATGTAGGATTCGACAACCAGCTGCAGTCACAGCACATGAGAGCCGTGCAAAGACAAGCGTCCAGGCCAGGATCGAACGAATTTCGACGGGCACGGGCGAATGAAACACCGGACCCCATTACAATGATCTGACCGACGCACGGCCGCTACTGGAGGGCAGCGCGCGTGGCACACCCAAGCTCGGTCACATTCAAGATGGTACCCTGCTGGCGGCTATCTTATTGAGCCGACACGCTTCAATAATCATATCCGGCGGAGGACCACAACCACCTGGACCCTTCAATGCACGCTCTGGCGGGGTAGGGCTCGGCGCGGAAGGCCAACTTCTTGGAGGGCCATGGGCTCGCGCCAGAAAGGCGGACGCGGGCTTCTTCGGATAACTCACACAACCGTGGACGAGAGGAACAAAGGCGAGAGAATGAAGGAGGACCGAGATGGAGGTGCCAGGCCGAAATCCCATGAGCCGTCCAGGCGTAAGTGGTTTAACCGACTTTGCCTTTTCTCTTTCTGCGAAAACCCCTCCTTCCCCTGATCGGGGGAGGGGTTTATCCCTGTTCCCTGTTAATGCACACCCCCTCCCCCAGGCGACCAGAAGCCAACCAGAAACCATAAGGACCCAATGCTCACACACTTTTTGGTCTGCGGGTCGGGAGCGGGCCCCTTCCGGTAATGCTCACACTCACACACACCATTCCTTTCAAAACAAAAATACGAAGCGCACTCTGTCTGCCTCACATGCGAAGCATGCGCGGCCAACCCGATGTGCCCCCCCATCCAAAAAATACTAAGTACATGTTGGGGCAAACTCTGAAGTCATGTTTGTGAAGCCCGCGAGCACGTTATATGGTTTTTGTTTGACTGGGGCGGCGGGGACACGCCAGCATACTGCCTGCTGCGCGCAAGGCTACGACCCGCGTGTATATGTACATACATATGCATATATATATATGCACTAGAACCACGCGCGCGCTACGCGCGCGCTTAGGTTCTAGCTTCGTCCGGGGCAACGGCCAAACAACGGACGAGGAGGTTGAAGGCTGAATGCACTTCGGTTATTCGTCGAGTTTCGCGGTCGTGGTTCGAAACAACTTTTCGGCGCCCCTCACTCCCAGGCGGCCCGAGGCGGCCGAAAACGACACCTCTTCCTCGTCCTCCTCTTTCCCCCCGCTCTTGCTCCTCTCCTCCTACTCTTCCTCCTCCCCCCATCGTCCCCTCCTTTTCCCCCTTCCTCTTCCTCCGCCCCCTTCCCCCCCTCCTCCTCCTTTTCCTCCTCCTCATCCTCCTCTTCCTCCTCCTCCGCCTCCTCCTCCTTCTCCACCTACTTTCCCTCCTCCTCCTCCTCCTCTTCCTCCTCCTCCTCCTCCTCCACTCCCCTCCTCCTCCTCCTCCTCCTCCTTCTCCTCCTCCTCCTCCTCCTCCTTCCTCCTCCTCCTCCTCCTCCTCCTCCTCCTCCTCATCATCATCATCATCATCATCACCATCATCATCTTCATCATGTTCCTCCTCCTCCTCCACCTCCTCCTCCTCCTCTCACTCCCCTGCCCTCCTCCTCCTCTGCCTCCTCCTCCTCTCTCCTCCCCCTCCCCTCCTCCTCCTCCCCCTCCTCCTCCTCCTCCTCCTCCTCCTCCTCCTCCTCCTCCTCTCTCACTCCTCCTTCTCCTCCTCCTGTTCAGACTACATGGCTCGCCAAACGGCACTGCGACGCCGCGCAAGCATTGGGCCACATCGGATAAAGGGAACACTCGGGGGAGGCCTCCCTCTTCCTCTTCCTCCTCCTTTTCTCCTCTTCCGCCGCATCCCCCTCCCCTCCTCCTGCCTCCTCCTCCGCCCCCTTCTCCTCCTCCTCCTCCTCCTCCTCCTCCTCCTCCTCCTCTCCTCGTCCTCCTCCGCTCCTCCCCTCCTCCTCGTCCTTCTCCTCCTCCTCCTCCCCTCCTCCTCCTCCTCCTCCCCCTCCCGCTCCTCCTCCCCTCCTCCTCCCCCTCCTCATCCTCTTCCTCCTCCTCCTCCTTCTCCTCCCCTCCCATCATCATCGTCATCAGCAGCCTCATCATCCATCAGCATCATCATCATCATCGTCGTCATAATCCCTCTTCCCTCCTCCTCCCTCCCCCCGCCCCCCCTTTTCTCTCCACCCCCCTCCTCCCCCCCTCGTTCTCGCGTCCTCGTCCTCCTCCTCCTCCTCCTCCTCCTCCTCCTCTCCTCCCTCCTCCTCCTCCTCCTCCTCCTCCTCCTCGTCCATCTCCTCTTCCTCCTTTCCTCTTCCTCCTCCTCCTCCTCCACCTCCTCCGAATGCAAGAAATCCAACAACATGTCGCGGAAATCAGCGAACTGTGCCCCTCCGGGTTTTTTTCGGGCGTCCTTTTAGGACTTGTCGTGGCCGTTTTAGGGCCCCCTTGGGCGCCCTGGGAACCCGGAAATCATGTTCCGATAGAGGCTTCGGGGAACATAATTTCGGACGCTGCGGAAGAGGCCCCCCAGGAATCTCTATAGGCAGCTCTGCTTGCCCCCGTTGTGGCTCTGTTGGGTGCCTTTTGGGGCTCTTTTGGGCTGGCTTGTAGCTCTCATGGGTCATCTTGGGTCCCTCTTGGGCCGTCTTGGGGCTCCTCGGGGTGGCGCTGTGAAGACGTCGTCGTCGTCGCCGTTCGCCGATTGGCGGCGTCAACTGTTGTCATCGTCGTCCATCGTCGTCGTCGTCGTCGTCGCCGGTCGTCGCCGTCGACGACCGTCGTCGTCATCGTCGCCGTCGCCGATCACCGTCACCGATCGTCGATCGGCCCCGAGCCCTCCCGCCCCCTCCTCCTCCTCTCCTCCTCCTCCTCCTTTTCTCCTCGTCCTCCTCCTCCTAATCTGCCTCCTCTCCCTCTTCCTCCTCCTCCTCCTCATCCTCCTCCTGGAATCATGTTCCCGGAGACGCTTCCGGGGACAGGATTTCGAACGATGCAGGAAAGACTGGGTCCAGGGTGGCTCTGCGCACGCGGACAGCGTCGCCGCCGTCGGCGCGGCCGTCGTCGTCGTCGCCGTCGATCGTCGATCGGCGACGTCGACTGTTGCCATCGTCGTCTATCGTCGTCGTCGTCGGTCGTCGACCGTCGTCGTCGTCGTCGTCGCGGTCAATCACCGTCGCCGGTCGTCGTCGCCGATAGTCGGTCGCCCTCGAGCCTCCTCCTCTCTCCCCCCCTCCTCCCATCCACTCCTCCTCCCCGCCTCCTCCTCCTTCTCCTCTTCCTTTTCCTCCTCCTCCTCCTCCTCCTCCTCCTCCTCCTCCTTCGCCCTCTCCGTCTCCTCCGCGCGAAAGAAATCCAACAACATCTCGCGCAAATCAGCGAACTATGGCCCTCCGGGCCTTTTTGAACGTCCATTTAAGGCCTTTTTGGGGGGTCGTCTTAGGGCCCTCTTGGGCGTCGCGGGAACCAGGAAATCATGTTCCCGGAGAGGCTTCTGGGAACATGATTTCGGAAGAGGCCCTCTTGGGCCTCCCTGAGGCCGTGTTGGGAGCCTCCTGGGCCAACTTTGGGGCCTCTTGGGGGTTCCGTGAGCCTCACAGGACGACCCTTTTGGGCCGTCTTGGGCCCTCTTGGGTCTCTCTTGGGCTGTCTTGGGGCTCGGGGGCGTCTGGGGCACTGTGAGGACCAAGCAAGCAGATATGCTGAAAACGTACGTTGTACAACGGGAATGGGCCGATTTTTGCCTCTTGAAGGCCCTCTTCGGCCAGCTTCAAACCATCTCGGGCCCTCTTGAGGCGCTCTTGGACGTCTTGGGGCCCCCTTGGGCCTCGCTGGGGCTGTCGGACAGCGTCGCCGCCGTCGGCGTGGCCGTCGTCGTCGTCGCCGTCGATCATCGATCGGCGGCGTCGACTGTTGTCATCGTCGTCGATCGTCATCGGTCGTCGTCGTGGTCGCCGTCGTCGTCGTCGCCGTCGTGAATCACCGTCGCCGGTCGTCGTCTCCGATCGTCGATCGCCCTCGAGCCTCCTCCTCCTCTCTCCCCCCCTCCTCCCCTGCACTCCTCCTCCCCGCCTCGTCCTTCTCCTCTTCCTCTTCCTCCTCCCCCTCCTCCTCCTCCTCCTCCTTCGCCCTCTCCGTCTCCTCCGCGCGGAATAAAATCCAACAACATTTCACGAAAATCAGCGAACTGTGGCCCTCTGGGAATTTTTGAATGTCATTTTAGGGCCCTTTTGGGGCCGTCCTGGGGCCCTCTTGGGCGTCCTGGGAACCCGGAAATCATGTTCCCGGAAAAGTTTCTGGGAACATGATTTCGAACGAGGCCCTCTTGGGCCTCCCTAAGGCCGTCTTGGGGGCCTCCTGGGCCGGCTTTGGGGCCTTTTGGGCCGTCTTGGGCCGTCTTGGGGCTCCTCGAGGGCCACTCTGAGGACGAAGCAAGCGAGTATGCTGAAATTGTAAGTTTTACAAGAGGAATCGGTAAAGTTCTGCCTCTTGAAGACCCTCTTGGGGCCCTCTTCGGCCATCTTCAAGCCATCTCGGGCCCTCTTGGGGCGCTCTTGGACGTCTTGGGGCCCTCTGGGGCCTCGATGAGGCTGTCTTGTGTGCCTCTTGGGCTGTCACGCGGGCAGCGTCGCCGCCGTCGGCGTGGCCGTCGTCGTCGCCGTCGATCGTCGATCGGCGGCGTCGACTGTTGTCATCGTCGTCGATCGTCGTCGTTGTCGGTCGTCGACCGTCGTCGA